AACATTGTGTAAAAAGAGACCTTATCTACCAGGCTACATATTATATGATTCTTTTTCTATTAAATGTCCAGAATAGGCAATCCATAGAGACAGGAAGTTGTTACCTGGAGTAGCAGGAAAGGGGGAGAGAGGAACGATACATGATCAGCACGAGGTTACTTGCGGGGTGATAGAAATGTTTTGAAATTACAAAATGCTAATGATTATACAATGTGTATATACTTGCATACACACACCTGAGTATATGCTTTAAATAAATTTTATGTTATATGAATTATATCTCAATTTTAAAAAGCACTTGATAAGTACTATGAATATTAAATACTATAGGAACAGCTGATTCCATCTGGGAGAGGCTGTGAGAACTGATGGAAGAAAATGGTATGCAAAATTTGAAAAACAATCCCGAATGAAAACAGTAGGTAAAGAGAAAGCAAGTAAAAAACCTGCCTTTGAGTACTGGCTCAGTGGGTAAAGGAGTTTGTTACACAAACTTGCCTGTTGGGGATCTTCCCTGGAGCTGCCCTCTTCAGACCCCACCCCTGAGAAAGCCTGCCAAGGGTCAGCTCCTCCCCCGGGATGCTGAAGACCTCACCTACAGGCTATTTAAGATTTCGTCTTCCTGCCTGCGCTGTGTGGTTCTCCCTCCTGGTTTCTCCCCTTCCCCTGGGACCACCAGGGAATGCTTTTCTCAGAATAAAACCTGGACTTTAATTCAGCTTGATCTGATTTATTACATCGGGATACAGAGAGACTTAATATTGGGATACAGAATCTTATCACTGGCAACCCAAGTTTGGTCCTTAGACCCAACAGTGGCAGAAGAGAACTGACTCCCGAGAGTTGTCCTCTTGACTTCCAAGTGCAGACTATATGGCACATGTGAGCCCACACTTGCATGCATCTTGTGCATGTGTGCACACATAATTAATAAAATAAATTTTTCCTGGAAGTGGTGGCACACGCCTTTAATCACTGCATTCGGGAGGCAGAGGCAGGCGGATCTCTGTGATTTTGAAGCCAGCATGGTCTACAGAATGGGTTCCAGGACAGCCAGGAATGTTTCAAAGAGAAACCCGGTCTCGAAAACAAAAACAAACAAACAAACAAAAAAGAAAAGAAAAGAAAAGAAAGAAAATAAATTTTAACAAGAAACCATGCGTGCCAGTCCTGCCAGTGAGTGGCATTGTTCAGACTTACTAACATGACTGTCTTCTTCTGCAAGATGAAGACTAAAATCTATTTCATGGATTGTTGTGTGCATTGGACAGTACAACGTGTGTAGAGCAGTCAATAGGCATTCCATACATGCTGCCTCTCTTCCTCCTCTATATTTTTTACTGCTAATTTTGGAGTAACTGACAGTGGCTATAAATGCAGAGCAGGGGAAAGGCTTTCTTTGTGTCGGAATAGTGAGAAATTTGATGAGACTGAAGTCTAAAGGCAGCAGGAAGCAGACATTAGAAGTTTTGAATAAAAAAGGGAACAAAAAAAGGTCTTTAGGATTTAGTCCTGAGAGATGCAGAAATCAGGGGACACTGGGAGGAGGAACAGAGAATGAAGACATTGGTTCTTTAGATGGTTTAGATGGTCCCAGAATGATCTCATTAGAGGATGTGGTTTCCTAGCCTCATTGAGTACAAGCCAGTGCCTGGCATTTTAACGGAGCTGAAGAAGACCTTGAATTTCTGGTCCTCCTACCTTTACCTCCTGAGTACTGGGAATGCCACGCCCAGCTACCCTTTTCTAAGTAGTGAATTACCTGGAAAATATTCTATTCCCTTTACAAAGAGTACATTGTTTCTGGCTCTTACACTACTATGTTGCAGCCTAAAATTTGTTGTAGGATGAATAATCTGGTGCAAATGAGCTTTTTCGTTGTTATAACAAAATAGCTGAGATAAATAACTTATAAAGGAGAAAATGGCTCATGCTTTCTGAGGTTTTAGTGGGACACGTGCTTTCTCAGGACACATACTTTTTGTTTGTTTTTCAAGACAGGGTTTCCCTGTGTAGTTCTGGCTGGCCTCAAACTCAGCGATCTGCCTGCCTTTGCCTCCTGAGTGCTGGGATTAAAGGTGTGTACCACCACCGCTTAGTGGGACAGGTGTCTTTAGGCCTGTGGGCAAGGTGGAACATCATAGTAGAAGTGTGTGGTGAAGGTCCTGGCTGGGAGAGAGTGAGAGGAGAGAGACCACAAGAGGTAGAGATGGAGATAAGAAGGTATTCAAGCATGCTTATCTCAAGTTGGTGATGAGCATTCAAAACTCTGAGGAGTGGGATGGAAAGACACTGGAGAATTTTAGCAGGACAGTACCACATTGTGGTTACATTTCTTCTTGGAGCTACTGTGTGAACAACAGAACATAGAAGAACAAGGTTGACCTGCGGTTGCTTACTGCTGTAGTCTGGGAGAAAGATCATGGTAGCTTGGCCTAGGCTGGTGAACGTTTCCTTTCTGTGACTGTGCCAAAATACCCTGACAAAAATCAACTTCATGAAGAAAGGGGTTTATTTTAGTTTACAATTCCAGGTCACTGCAGGTCGTTACGGCAGGATATCAAACAGCTAGTCATACCTGTCCACAGCCAAGAGCCGAGGCAGGTTAATACACACCTGCTTGCTTGCTTTTGCTCAGCTTAGTTTCTCTACTCTTTTGTTGTTTGTTTTTGTTTTTCGAGACAGGATCTCTCTGTGTAGCTTTGGAGCCTGTCCTGGAACTTGCCCTGCAGACCAGGCTGGCCTCAAACGCACAGAGACCAGCCTGCCTCTGCTCTCCAATGCTGGGATTAAAGAAAGGTATGTGCCATCACTGCCTGGCAGTTTCTCCACTCTTACACAGTTCAGGAGCCCTTGCCTGGGGAATGAGGCTGCCCACGAAGGCTGGATCTTTCCACACATCAATTGATTTAACTAACACAACAACCTATAGACACACCTAAAGTAGACAATTCCTTACTGAAGCTCTCTTCCCATGATTTAGGTTGTACCAAGTAGACAATTATGGCTAACTATCACAGCTAGTAACAGTGGAGGTGGTATACAATGACAACAGATTTGTACTTTGGTAAGTTCATTTGTGCCCCAGGGTGGTGGGGATAGAGACAAGCATATCATTGGAAGGTGGAGCTGAATGGATTTCAGGTGTTTACAAATGATGGGTACAACAGAAAAAGGACTCAAGTTGACTTCATCCTAAAACTCCACTTCTCAAACTCATCTGGTATGCCAGGGTGATAAATGCATACCATACAGAAAGGCTGAGTAGAAACTGGGTCCACAGCATCTTTGAGTGTTTCTTGTACTGAGGTCTCGAGGCACATGGCAAAATGCCTCTGTAGTGGGTGATCAGAGGTCATGGTCCAAATTTTGCAGTTACCATGGATTCTTGCTACATGACATCTAAGTGCCCTTGCATCTTTAAGGTTCTGTGCTGTGGTATTCAGCTGGGGCGGGGGGAGATAAAGCCCCTGTATCAAAGGGGTCAGACAGCAAGGTTGAGGCTTGGCACCATGAAGAGAACCCAGGAGAGGCTATTGGTGAAAGTGTCCTCCCCCAGTTGTCACAGAAGACCCCAGAATTTTGGAGATGTCAGTACCATGAGATGACCACCAAAACAGCAGCAGTCCTGGAGCCAGCTACATACTAGAAGACAAGCTGTGTGTGCTGTAGAAAATGGAACTAGACACTGGACCCAAACCCTTTGGAAGATCTCAGTAGATTGTCCGTGAATCCTAGACATGGGACATTGAATAATTTACACACTTGGAGTTTGGGATGCTCTGGTTCTTTCCTCCTGAAGTAAGGACTTATTTAACTTATTTTGTTTTTATGGGAGCCTACTGCTGAGAGACATTAGATTATAAAAGACTTTGGATTTTAAAAGAGACTGAATTTTTAAGTGTTTAAAATCTTGAAGACTGTGGGACTTTTAAAATGTGTTATATTGTAATGCTTTTATGTACGATTTTGGTGATGAAAAAGAAACGGAAGGTTGTGGCTTAACAGCAATTGGTTTCTGTGTCAAATTGACACGGGGGTCAGTTGTACTGGTTAGTTTTATGTCACAAAACTTGACACAAGCTAGACTGATTTGAGAGGAGGGAGCCTCAAATGAGAAAATGCCTCCATAAGATTAAGCTGTAAGCAAGCCTGCAGGCATTTTCTTAATTAATGATGGATGTCCACCCCATTGTGAGTGGAGTTATCCCTGGACTGGTGGTCCTGGGTTCTATAAGACAGCAGGTTGAGCAAGCTATAAGAGCAAGCCAGTAAGCTGCACTCCTTCATGGCCTCTGTATCAGCTTCTGCCTCCAGGTTCCTGTTTGAGTCCCATCCTGACTTCCTTTGATTGAACTGTGATGGAAGAGTAAACCAAAGGAGCCCTTTCCTCCCCAAGGTGCTTTGGACATGGTCTTTCATCACAGCAACAGTAATCCCGATTTTATCTCAGGAAATATGAGACATTGTTTGTGATCAGTATGTTTCCTTTTCTGTCAAAAGCAATAGCGATTTACACACTTCATGGATCTGTGAAGCAAAGTGATATATGTGTGCAGATGTCTACAAAATCTACTCCACAGATAAAGACCACTTCAGATCCTCATCTTTAATATTTTACAGTTGAAGTCAATTTTTGGCCTTCTTTTTGCTTCACATATCCCAGACTAGCTTTAAACTTTCTATATAGCCCAGGGATGACATTGAAATTTTATTTCTGGTGCCTACACTTTCCAGGGGCTCCACCACACCTGGTTTATGCGGTGCTGGGGATTGAACCTAGGACTTCATGCACGCTTCTGCAAGTACTCATCAACTTCTACATTTCCAGCGCTAGGCAGAACTTTTTCTGTTTTTGTCGCAGACCCCGGCCTCAGACGAAGATTCTGCATAGAAATAGAAGGTGGCCGGGGACAAGTAGGGAAACACAGGACACTTCACAGAAAGCCAAGGTTGGAGGGAGACAGCGGCTCGCTGGCCTCACGTGACCTCAGGGACCCCGGGGTAGCTCGAGTCCCGCCCCTCGGCTCTTGCAGGGGGAAGGGGAGGCGCATGCGCACCCCGTGTTAGTGATGGAGGAGAGAAGATGGCGGAAGCGGAGTGAGTGACTTGCTGGTGACTGATGTCGTAACCGGGGGGCGAGTGAGGGCAGCGACCCGTCCCCCCGAGGGAGTTCTCAGGGCTCTGAGGTTGACAGTGCAGGGCTGAGGAGAGGCGAGAGCCACGGCGTGGCGGAGGAGCCCGGGCAGGGGCGGAGGAGGATGGCCGGTCTCGTCAGCCTCCTCTCGGGAGTGCGTGCGGCGCGGTCCGCTCCAGCGGCCGCGCGGCCCTGTCAGCACAGCGACCCTGGGGACCCGGGCCTGCGGGGGGTCGCCTGACACGAGCCCTGGGGCGCGCTTCCGGGGCTGTCACTCCGGCCGCGGCCCCGCCGAGGTGTGTCGGGCTGGCCGGGAGCCGCCAGGCCTCCGCGCTGACTTTTGCGGCCCATCGGCGTCCGGCGGGCTGTGCGGCGGGCTGGACAGCGGAGCCGGGGGACCGCGGGGACCGCGGGAGGCTTCCGGGCGGCGCTGCGGCCGGCCCAGGCCGAGGCCTTTCCTGCCTGGCACTCCCCCTCCGGGCTCGGGCTGCAGCGGCGTGCCTCCCTCCCTGGAGGGCCGCATTCTTGTGTGGCGCTGTGATGGTATGCTCGGTTAGCGACTTGAAACTTACTGGTTTCCTGGTAGGCCTGGGTGTAGCAGAGCTGAACAGCGCAGGCATTTCCATGCCAAGCCCATGCACTCATCAAAAGTGTTCTTTTGTACCAGGCCTCGAAATGTGATGCGATGATTTTTTGGCCAGTTGCACTCACCAGTATTTTAGAATTAATGTTTAGGTTCTCTGTGACCATTTTTGGTTAGTCAGAAATGCTCGGCATCGCCTTTGGGCTTGAGAGCACAGCTGAGCAGAAAAAGACTTTGCTGATTGGAAGGCAATTAAGAAAAAAAAAATAGCAGCGAAGTATAAAAAAAAAAGTATGATTCAACTTACAATAAAAGAAGTTAGTGAGAATCATTTCCCTCCGTTTTTTTCCTTTCACATTTCTCCTTGTAAATTGGATGTTAATTCAGGTGTGGTGGGCTGGAGAATTTCGAGTCTCATTGAGGCCAGCCTGGGCTCCATAGTGCTACCGTTTTGTTTTAGAGAAAAAAGTAAATGTTCTTGTTCCATTTTGGTCAACGATGGGAATGTCAGGTGGTTCAAATGTTATTTCTCAAGAGAAAAAGACAGATAAGGAAATAGGAAACTAGTAAAACTTCACGTGAGTTTCTGACCCCGGAGTGACAACTAATGTGGTTTTAGTGCAACAACATGGGAAGCCTTTGGAATTGACTATAGACATTTGAGTTTATTAAAATAGATTTCTTCCCCCCCCCCTCTCTCTCTCTCATTTTTTGAGACAGGATTTCTCTGTGTATCCCTAGCTGTCCTGGAACTCACTCTGTAGACC